TTGGTGTCATCCTGCTGCTGGCAAGCCTCTTGGCGTGTTGCTGCTCTGGAACAGGCTGTCGCAACTGTTGCTACAGACCTCCGTAAGTGTGCACCTGTCTTGTCTCCAGACCACACCTTTTTATGTGATGCCAAGCATGAGAAATACGTTCACTGACGTTGTTGATCTCATGCAGATTGTGGGATGTATCCATTAGATAGCTCACCAGACTATATAAAACTAGCAGCTGTGGTCTCAGTTTGGTTTCAATCCTGCACCTCCACAAGACGACGGAATCTCGTTGAGGAGACCCAACAGCTTCTCGCGAAAAAAAGCCATAATGATCAAGAAAGCCCTTGCTGAAACAAAGGAAACGTTGCGGAGACACACGAAGAAAACAACAGACTAAGCAACCAACAGAGTTATGGAGGAAAGAGAGAAAGCACGAAAAGAAGCAGCAAGAAAGCAGCAAATACAGTCACCCAAACCTCAGAGAGCCGAGACCCAGAAAACGCCATATCAAATACCAGACAAGAAAATACCGACGCCGCTGATGGGGCAGTTTCCGGACGAAACCACTCTACGAATAAATCAACGCATCAGGGAGCTGGAGAATCTGAACTACTTTAACACAGAATTGCAAGAGGAGGATGTACCATGGTCATCACCAGAAGAACCGATCCGACCGCCAAAACCTGAAGTCAAACGAGGTCGATAACGTTACCACAAACATTAATGCCAGAGACGACACCACCAACGCCAAAACTATCTAAACCCTATGTAGGAGAAGCACTTTACAACAAGGACACAAGAAGACCACCGAAATAACACCAGACCCCACCATTATTTCCTTCAGTACCTGCCCAAAGCAAGCAATCGCCAGTCCTTCTTAGGATAGGCAGTCCCCTCTACTCGGAAACAGCAAACGGCCAATGAAATCCACACAAAATCGACTAAACATCCAATGATCCGCAGCGCAGGAGAAGGCCAGCCAGTTACGAAAGCAGACAATCGAGCGGAAAACCACAACAAATAGCAAGCGACAAATACTGAAAACACAATCCAAAACCAAATGAGATCAAGACCAGAAACGTCACCACAAATATAGCAGACAGGAAAGAGAGCAGAAATGTAATCTGACCTAGCTGAAAGTGGTCAACGTTAAAAGATAGATAGATAGATTGGGTGACTACATCTACCCCAAGACCAACACAGGTCTCATCAAAGGCCGCTGGTCATAGACGTGAGGCGTGTTGCCTAGTGCTAACACGGAGTCAGATACACATTCCCGAACCTTGAGGTGTAAGGGCACGTGATGCTTTCTGTTTGTGAAGGCCAATCAGCATACAACAATAATTGTGGTATTGCAATGCGAGACCTCCACTGTTTCCTCACATCATTTCACCAGCAACCATTTAAGGCTGGTTTAACGATGAAGCCCAGATCCCTGAAAGCAGTTCCCTTATAGAAGATCCTCCGTCCATTTAACAAGGGCGACGGGTAAGAGCGTTGGGTATGACCCTAGTGGGTTCTACATGGGACTTAAAGTATGACTTCACCAGCCATCTGTTTGAGGGTCATCATCCTAACTTTGTGTAAAGGCGGACAGACTTGGCTCACAGCCAGTACAAGTGTCTGGTAGCTGATCACTGAGCTCTTAATTGTAAAGGAATACGTTCAAATCCACTGTGTAACAGACGTATTTTACTCTGTCCACGACGAGACTTCAGTCAGATGTCAACAGACTTAGCTACACATGCAAGATGGAGCAGTCGTTTTCTTTAACTTCAACACAAACTTGCACAGTCAATACCGGCGTTGAAACACTTCTTTACAGTTTTGTTTTTTAAGATTGTTTTTATGATGACGTCTGTTTTTACTGACCCATTTGTTAGTCATCTTTCTTGCACATTCTGACAATAAATACTCTGTGGCAAGTATCGGTACCATTTGTACACTTTGTGGCAAGTATCGGTACCATTTGTACACTTTGTGGCAAGTATCGGTACCATTTGTACACTTTGTGGCAAGTATCGGTTCCATTTGTACACTTTGTGGCAAGTATCGGTACCATTTGTACACTGTGTGGCAAGTATCGGTACCATTTGTACACTTTGTGGCAAGTATCGGTACCATTTGTACACTTTGTGGCAAGAATCGGTACCATTTGTACACTTTGTGGCAAGTATCGGTACCATTTGTACACTTTGTGGCAAGTATCGGTACCATTTGTACACTTTGTGGCAAGTATCGGTACTATTTGTACACTCTCTGGCAAGTATCGGTACCATTTGTACACTTTGTGGCAAGTATCGGTACCATTTGTACACTTTGTGGCAAGTATCGGTACCATTTGTACACTTTGTGGCAACTATCAGTACCATTTGTACACTCTGTGGCAAGTTTCGGTACCATTTGTACACTTTGTGGCAAGTATCGGTACCATTTGTACACTTTGTGGCAAGTATCGGTACCATTTGTACACTCTGTGGCAAGTATCGGTACCATTTGTATACTCTGTGGCAAGTGTCGGTACCATTTGTACACTTTGTGGCAAGTATCGGTACCATTTGTACACTTTGTGGCAAGTATCGGTACCATTTGTACACTCTGTGGCAAGTATCGGTACCATTTGTACACTCTGTGGCAAGTATCGGTACCATTTGTACACTCTGTGGCAAGTATCGGTACCATTTGTACACTCTGTGGAAAGTATCGGTACTATTTGTACACACTTTGTGGCAAGTATCGGTACCATTTGTAGACACTTTGTGGCAAGTATCGGTACCATTTGTACACACTTTGTGGCAAGTATCGGTACCATTTGTACACACTTTGTGGCAAGTATCGGTACCATTTGTACACACTTTGTGGTGAGTAGCAAGTAAAAGTAAAGGGACATTTCGCACCCATTGACGCACTTTGGGCATATAGGGCTACACATATATTTTATAGGCCAATCGCGGCTGGGTGGATCATGTGGCATCACACCAGCCGCCTTGACTTCCCAGGACTTCACCTTGCACTTAGTTAAGGCTGTATGCAACTGGATGCTAAGGTCATGTGTGAAAGACGACACAAATCCTGCATCGTCAAGGTTTGAACTTAAGACCTTCTGGTCCGGAGGAGAGCGTTTAGCCGCTACATTATGGCGGCTATTTTGTGTGTGCCGAGTACCGGCACCGGTTTATTTAGGGAAAAAAGCCCTGACTTTAATTATAATTCAGCGTCTGTGGCCGGGGAGTTGTGGACTCCGGTGGACTCCGGGGAGTTGTGGACTCGGGGTGTTGTGTACTCCGGGGATTTGTGGACTCAGTTTGATGAACTTGAATTGATGAACCACAAGGAATTTCATCGTCAACCACCTGTGCCGAAACACGTCACATAGGACACGCACGTCCAGTCCTCCATTCCGTTCAATCCTGTAGCATCCTTTAGCCTATATCAGCAACGTTTGTCCTAGGGTTTCTCTTGCGCATCCTCGTGGTGTCATTCCATGTGTTTCCTAGTTCAGTGCCTGTTTAAGGATTCACTATCCACTTCTCCTGAGGATGTGTCCTACACAGCGCCTTCTTATTTTTTGTAGAACTGTTGATACAAGTGGTTGTCCAGACATCTTTTGCTAATATCTTCCCATTGCTTGCATTCATCCAAATTAATGTTCATTAGTTTCCTTATTCAGTTGTTTTTGAAAGCAGTTAATGTTTCGTTTTATGGTTTCCGCTTGATTAAATGTTATTCTGTTTGTTTTCAGACCTAAACCAGTCATGACGAAAGCGGCCCCAAACAAACAGTAAGTGCTGCCTTGACTGTCACTGGTCTACGATATTTATGTAATGACGATTCTTTGTATTGTGTAAAACACAGCATCAGTTAGCAGACACGATGGGAGAACAGAACAAGATGCCTACGTTTAACATAAGACTTAGGTTATATAGAGTTTAGCATCTGTATGTATACACGAAGGGTGGCGTAACGATTCCTGCCTTTACCTGCCAATAGAACGATCTGGGTTCAAACACCAATAATGGCACTGGTACTTCTTTTTAGTCGGCCCTGTGGCTAAGTCAAATCATACGCTTCGTAATGCTGGGATGCCGGGTTCGATCCCAGTCGCGGGCCATGCGCCTTGCATTGGTTTCCACAGTAATATCAACCAAGCCGACCGTCCAGAGGCTATTGCAAACTACTGAACGTAAATTTGCCTAGAAAATCCACACAACAGCCAGGGGCGGCTGGGGCTGGTTCTGCAACGTCCTGAAAAGGATACGCAACTAACCTAGTCATTTCTTTTTACCATAGCAGCACCTATCTGATGCCAAGTACAAACTGAACTGACTGCGTCTCATGAATAAGGGGGAGAGGGGGGAGAAGCGGGCAGGACAACAAGAAAAGGAGATAGTCACCTTATTTCAATGTGCCATGGCTCACAATATTTGCACTAATGTTTGCTTTATTTTTATTTTACCATACAGATCTTTATCAAACTGGTTTCATTCTGTTCTTTGATTATATTTATATTGCCAACTCCAGTTATATTTGTTCTAACCAGACTTTTATGCTGGTAACAGAAGACACACTACCCACATCAGATACGAAAAGATATTGTAAACCATACAACTTTCCCAGATATCCTATCATTATTGTAAACTACACAGCTTTCCCAGATATCCTAACTTTATTGTAAACCATACAACTTTCCCAGATATCCTATCATTATTGTAAACCACACAGCTTTCCCAGATATCCTATCATTATTGTAAACCACACAACTTTCCCAGATATCCTATCATTATTGTAAACCACAAAACTTTTCCAGATGTCCTATCATTATTGTAAACCACACAGCTTTCCCAGATATCCTATCATTATTGTAAACCACACAGCTTTCCCAGATATCCTATCATTATTGTAAACCACACAGCTTTCCCAGATATCCTATCATTATTGTAAACCACAAAACTGTTCCAGATATCCTAACATTATAGTAAACCACACAACTTTCCCAGATATGCTAACATTATTGTAAACCACACAGCTTTCCCAGATATCCTATCATTATTGTAAACCACAAAACTTTTCCAGATATCCTAACATTATAGTAAACCACGCAACTTTTCCAGATATCCTGTCATTATTGTAAACAACGCAAACTTTCCAGATATCATGTCATTACTGTAAACCACACAACTTTTCCAGATATCCTGTCATTAGTGACGAAACTTGTGTATTTCAGACCAGCAAAGCCACAGTCGCTACCTTCTATTGAATACACGCCTCCAGTAAACAGGGGATGGGAGAACCTTGCCTGGAGCAGCAGTAAGTGTATACATTCTTTACTGTCTCTTACTGCTGTTCGTGGTCCGTCATCGTAGAGAAGTCACAGGGCCGATTTAAGGATCGATTCCCAGGCTCCAGGACTCCTGGTTGTCTAGTCCATGATGTGCAGGTGGTACATTGTTGAGTTATAGAGGTGATACCTTATGGTGCTGTGTGACGCTGTGGAGCTAGTACAGTGTGTTTCTGTGGAGGTAGTATAGTGTGGTGTTGTTGAGGTACTATAGCGTGGTTTTTTGGAGGTAGTGTAGTGTGTTTCTGTGGAGGTAGTATAGCGTGGTGTTGTGGAGCTAGTACAGTGTGTTTCTGTGGAGGTAGTATAGTGTGGTGTTGTTGAAGTAGTATAGTGTGGTGTTGTGGCGGTAGTATAGTGTGGTGTTGTGGAGGTAGTATATTGTAGTGTTGCGGAGGTAGTATAGTGTGGTGTTGTGGAGGTAGTATAGTGTGGTGTTGTGGAGGTAGTATAGCGTGGTGTTGTTGAAGTAGTATAGTGTGGTGTTGTTGAAGTAGTATAGTGTGGTGTTGTGGAGGTAGTATATTGTGGTGTTGTGGAGGTAGTATAGTGTGGTGTTGTGGAGGTAGTATAGTGTGGTGTTGTTGAAGTAGTATAGTGTGGTGTTGTGGAGGTAGTATAGTGTGGTGTTGTGGAGGTAGTATAGTGTGGTGTTGTGGAGGTAGTATAGTGTGGTGTTGTGGAGGTAGTATAGTGTGGTGTTGTGGAGGTAGCATAGCGTGGGTTGTTGAAGTAGTATAGTGTGGTGTTGTGGATGTAGTATAGTGTGGTGTTGTGGAGGTAGTATAGTGTGGTGTTGTGGATGTAGTATAGTGTGGTGTTGTTGAAGTAGTATAGTGTGGTGTTGTGGAGGTAGTATAGTGTGGTGTTGTGGAGGTAGTATAGTGTGGTGTTGTGGAGGTAGTATAGTGTGGTGTTGTGGAGGTAGTATAGTGTGGTGTTGTTGAAGTAGTATAGTGTGGTGTTGTGGAGGTAGTATAGTGTGGTGTTGTGGAGGTAGTATAGTGTGGTGTTGTGGAGGTAGTATAGTGTGGTGTTGTTGAAGTAGTATAGTGTGGTGTTGTGGAGGTAGTATAGTGTGGTGTTGTGGAGGTAGTATAGTGTGGTGTTGTGGAGGTAGTACAGTGTGCTGCTGTAGAGGTGGTAAAGTGTGGTGCTGTAGAGGTGGTACAGTGTGGTGTTGTAGAGGTGGTACAGTGTGATGTTGTGGAGGTGGTACAGTGTGGTGCTGTAGAGGTGGTACAGTGTGGTGCTGTAGAGGTGGTACAGTGTGGTGCTGTAGAGGTGGTACAGTGTGGTGCTGTAGAGGTGGTACAGTGTGGTGCTGTAGAGGTGGTACAGTGTGGTGTTGTGGAGGTGGTACAGTGTGGTGCTGTAGAGGTGGTACAGTGTGGTGTTGTGAAGGTGGTACAGTGTGGTGTTGTGAAGGTGGTACAGTGTGGTGTTGTGAAGGTGGTACAGTGTGGTGTTGTGAAGGTGGTACGGTGTGGTGTTGTAGAGGTGGTACAGTGTGGCGTTGTGAAGGTGGTACGGTGGGGTGCTGTAGAGGTTTTGAAGTGTGGTTCTGTGCGACGCTGTGGAGGGTGTAGTGTGGTGCTGTGCGATGCTGTAGAGACGGCACATTTGTGTACAGCCCAACGTTGCTCGGACTTTACATTATTGTAGCAGGACTGTGTTGCCACACATCCAGCATTTTGTGCTACACGGCTTTTAAAGAAAAGATTTGGACTGGGTAAAATGATCAACATCACGCCGACCATCTTTACTTCCCTTAACGTTACCTGGTACCTATTTTTGGCTGCGGTCCGCCTACGCCAAGGTTAATTTTGAAATATTAATCCGACCAGCCGGTGTTGCAGCCTCGATTATACGTTCTTAGTTAGCTAGGGGCTGTTGGGGTTGGGTCTGCGACGTCCTGTAAAGGATACGCAACTAACCTATTGAGAATCGACAGCTTCGTGCGGTTGTAAGCTATTGAAGCTAACCTTGCTTTCTTAAATCAGAGACACCTAAATAAATGCTGGGCTTTGTTGTGCAACATTCTCTCAAGGATATATATATATATGGATGTATTACTTTATAAACGTAAACTAGAGACGTGCCATTGTAGATATCTAAGAGGAATACTAGCAATATTTTGGTCAGATTCGCAATAATGGATAACTGTACAGGAAAACCAAATTTCCGTCACTTGCAAATGTTTTCCGAGCAACAAGATGAAGATGGTTTGTATGTTTGCTGAATGTTTTATGACACTTTGGCAAGAACAACTCTCTCTCCCTCTCTCTTCCTTTCTGTCTGTCTCTTACTCTCTCTCTCTCTCTCTCTCTCTCTCTCTCTCTCTCTCTCTCTCTCTCTCTCTCTCTCTCTCTCTCTCTATCTCTCTCTCTCTCCCTCTTTCATTTATGTCTGTTTCTTTTTCTTCACTGTCAGTCTATCTGTGTGCGTGTATGTGTGTGGTGCTGGGTCCGTGTGTGTGTGTGTGTGTGTGTGTGTGTGTGTGTGTGGTGGAAAGCAGATGGAGGAAGGAGACTGGTGCGACTTAACAAGCTTGAATAATGAGACTAAAAAGGAAAAAAAAAAACGAAGTGTAAATGTGGTATGAAATACTATAGGCAGAAAAGCCGCTGAATAGAAACAAAGGAGTTATGATGTGCCTGCCCTATCTGCTAAAATGATGTTGTGATACGACATGTACAATATATCTCACACGTTATAGTATCCAAAACACACATCCATGTATAATATATACAGGTCCGTATTACCCATCAAGCACACTTAGCACGGGCATAGGGCATCAGGGCATCATGAAATAGAGGGACATCAGGGCATAGGGCATCAGGGCATCATGAAATAGAGGGACATCAGGGAAATGTTCACCAGCTTTGGAGCTCAGCGTTTGTTTTTTTCCGGTTAAAAGTATATTCAAGAATCAGTCAGACAAGAAATCAGCTTGTTATCCTGGACGCCTTTTCTCTGTCGAGTGAAGAAACAGATGTGTTAGATAAGATTGGTTTCGGGATCTGATCAAAAACTTGTTCAATAAAATGGACGTATATAACATTGGACACTATTGTCGACTTTACTGTAGGTTATGTTTAATGTCGATAACTAGAATTGATGTTTATGGTTTATTACTGTTACTGTTTCTATTTTAAATTACATAAATATATGGGGCCCTAATGTGGTCTTCACACATGGGCTGGTTGGGCACTTTTCCGGTGGGCCCCAGTTTCATATTAACACATGGGCTGGTTGGGCACTTTCCCGGTGGGCCCCAGTTTCATATTAACACATGGGCTGGTTGGGCACTTTCCCGGTGGGCCCCAGTTTCATATTAACACATGGGCTGGTTGGGCACTTTCCCGGTGGGCCCCAGTTTCATATTAACACATGGGCTGGTTGGGCACTTTCCCGGTGGGCCCCAGTTTCATATTAACACACGGGCTGGTTGGGCACTTTCCCGGTGGGCCCCAGTTTCATATTAACACACGGGCTGGTTCTGCACTTTCCCGGTGGGCCCCAGTTTCATATTAACACATGGGCTGGTTGGGCACTTTCGCGGTGGGCCCCAGTTTCATATTAACACATGGGCTGGTTGGGCACTTTCCCGGTGGGCCCCAGTTTCATATTAACACACGGGCTGCTTAGGCACTTACTCGGAGGCCAAAGCAGCATAGGGGCCCTATTGCATCAGGAAGCCAGTACAATGGTTTGTACAGGGGTCATAATGCTGTTAAGGCGGCTCGGCTGGGGGCCAAAATATTTTAAGTGCTGAAGTGGGGTTGGGGGGGGAGTGGGGGGGGGGGAGGGGCAAAATATGTTGTCATTAAGGTCAAGAGGTCTTAATGTGGCCCAGATGATATCAACAACATATCCAGTGGTATATTACGACAACGTATCTTCACTTTATGACGTCAGACACAGCGCCCTTATACTCTACAATTCTCAACGATATATCATCTACTATGCTCTTCTCCCCAGATGACGTCATCAGACCGCCAGGAATCTCACGTTATCACCATTATCACTGAGGACCTTAACCCTCTACCACAGTAATTTATCATGTTCAAGCTATTTAGCTTTTTCTTTTTCTTTTTTTTTTTTTTTCGAATAACTGCTTCCTCGATGTTCTCATCACATTAGTAACCACTCACACAGTCTGAACGTTTACAGAATTAACAAACAGGTATGGTGTATGTTGCCATCCTGTACACATGAAACATACATACTGTATTTAAACTAGTTTGTAAAGAAAGCAGATCGAGAAGGTTACATGGCGCAGCAAAGAACAAACAATAATCGGCACATCTGTTACCGATATGACTGCAATATGTGCTCAAAGAAACGCACTGTGTTCAAGAATTAGATATTTATAGAAACTACAAGGTTAAGATAAACATAAAGAGAATCTATGTGCTCTTGTCCTTACCAGCGCAGATCTGCAGACAGCAACCGGCTTGTGTCGCTTTATAATCAGTTCAGTTCTCGTTATGCCTAGTGGCACATGAGGCTTCAGAGAGGACTTTCCATGCTTTCCTGTCCTGCGCAATCTTCAGTGCAGTTTTCCATGTCAAAGATGCCGCACTCAGGTCACTTTCCATCGTTCGTCTCCATGTTTTTAGGCGCCCCTGTTTTCTCTTTCCCTCTGGTGTCAATGTGAGAACTGTT